TTCTTAGAATTCAACAGCTAAGCTAGGCTGAAGCCAGGAGCACCCTCGGGTTAATAATAATATTCTAATAATAATTTATTATTTATACCCTTCCCATCTGTCTGGGTTTCCCCAACCACTCTGGGTGGCTCCTAACAGAATATTTAAAAAGCGATAAAATATCAAATATTAAAAACTTCCCTAAACAGGGCTGCCTTCAGATGTCTTCTAAACATCAGATAGTTGTTTATTTCCTTGACATCTGATGGAGGGGGGCATTTCACAGGGTGAGCGCCACTACCAAGAAGGCCCTGGTTCCCTGTAACTTGGCTTCTTGCAGTGAGGGAACCACCAGAAGGCCCTCGGCGCTGGATCTCAGTGTCCGGGCTGAACGATGGGGGTAGAGACGCTCCTTCAGGTATAGTGGGCCAAGGCAATTTAGGGCTTTAAAGGTCAGCACCAACACTTTGAATTATGCTGTGAAACGTGCTGGGAGCCAATGTAGGTCTTTCAGGACCAGTGTTATATGGTCTTGGCAGCCTGTGCAAACCTGTGCCTTCAGGGAGAGTGTGATCCTGTGAAGAACATGCAAGATCATCAAACGACTCACCATCACCACTCCTATCTTATATGGACAGTTCATTTTCTCCTATTTGTCTAATAGCACCAATAGACTGCAGCCAAAGGTTGCTCTGAACAATTTAGGACTTACACTGGTACCTCATTTATGAACTTAATCCGTACTGGAAGTCCGTTCTTAAACCCAAACCATTCTTAAACCAAGGTGTGCTTTCCCTAATGAGGCCTTCCGCCGCCGGTGCTCTTCCACCAATCGGATTCCGTTCTTAGACTAAGTTAAAGTTCTCAAACCGGGACACTATTTCCAGTTTTGCGGAGTTTGTAAACCGAATCGTTCTTAAACCAGACGGTTCTTAAACCGATGTACCACTCTGTGTGTGTGTGTGTGTGTGTGTGCGTATCAATTATTTGGAAGTTTATTTTATGCATATAATGCTTTGACTTCAGAATGAACAAGACAGACATGTTTTTAAAAACATCTCAAAGTTCTACCAGCTAAAGTCTTTAAATAATAACCAGTTCCTAATAATTCATTCTCTCTGTGTCATGCCCTGAAATGCCTGTTTCCATTGCACTCTGACATTCCCAGGATTCCACCCCATTCTAGAACCAGACCAAGAAACTGAGCAGGTAGAGCAGTGCCAACCCCCCCCCCCCCCAAACAAACCCTTCATATTCATATTTGTTGCTTCATTTAGGTAGGTTCTTTATCTTGGTACTTCGGTGGCATATCTTGCTTTATTTTGTTCCCAATTCCTGGGGCCACTTTTATTTTTAAAGGAAAAGATTCATTTGCATTTCTCATTGATTTAAGTGAGGAAGTCACAATGTACCCATAATGGTTAGTTTTCTTCCCCAACAGAAGTGCATGAAATTTGCAAAAAAATCCTGCAGAGATGAAGCTGGCCGAATGTCAGATAGGCACAGAGCGGTTTGTGCTAGGCACCTTTAAAGCTGTTGGAGGTTTAAAGGTTTATGCCAACCTGCTACCTTTTTTTGTAGCAACAGTAGTCTCTCCCCCCTCACATGGATCCAGAAAATGGATCCCACCAGTTTCTATACTCTACTCTGTTATCTTTGCATTTTTTTATTTTTTAAAAAAATTTGGTTGGTTAAGAGAAACAAAGTGATTGTTACTGTACGTAATGTTTCTTTGTATACAAATTGTCATTTCAGGAAATAATACACATTGTAACAGAACTGGTTACTATATGTATTCACACAACCCATATTGTTCTCTGCAGCTTAACTTTGCTGATAATTGTTCTCTGCAGCAACTTTGCTGATAATTATATAACCAGCTGAGTCCCCTATGGGAGTCTGTATGTAGTAGGTAATCAGTCTTTTCTTCTATTAGTCCTTAGGTGCTTATTTATGCAAACACTGTTTTACAGACAATATCCTATGTTTCCTCGTTATTCCGCAATTAGGGTTTTTTGCACATGGTTGCTTATCGATGAAATATAATCAAGCTGATAAAATAATCTCCCGGTCTTAATAGGCAAGATAAAGCAACTAAGTGATCAGCAAGAGAACTAAATTCACAAAGGACTGGTGCCTAAGTCCTTTAAGTGTGTATAGTTGTAATTCTATAATGCATGATACCTTGGGTTAAGAACTTAATTCGTTCTGGAGGTCCGTTCTTAACCTGAAACTGTTCTTAACCTGAGGTACCACTTTAGCTAATGGGGCCTCCCGCTGCTGCTGCGCAGCCGTCGTGCAATTTCTGTTCTCATCCTGAAGCAAAGTTCTTAACCCGAGGTAATATTTCTGGGTTAGTGGAGTCTGAACCTGAAGCGTCTGTAACCTGAAGTGTCTGTAACCCGAGGTACCTCTGTATTGATTATTATAATGCATTTAATAATTATATCCCACCCTTCCGTGAATGATGCCCAAGTCGGCTCACAACAACAATACAATTAAAATAATTAAAACAGAAATACATCAAATTTAAAACAAAAAGACGAATAAATAAGTGGGGGTTAAACATGATAAAAGGGCAGTCAAATTACTGTTCTGTATAAACAGTAGCTATAACATAGAGCCTGTGTGGTGGGGTGACTTGAGTGGTGGGGTAGGGCCTGGGAGACCATGGTTCAAAGCCCCACTCATCCATGAAGCTCACTGGGTGGCCAGTCACTCACTCTCAGCCTAACCTACCTCATAGTCCTGTTGTGAGGATGAAATGGAGAGGAGGAGAACTATCTATGCCAATGAATAAATGAATCTTTATTTGCGTCAGCCATAGCAATGAAACAAAAATACAGTGGTACCTCTGGTTATGTACTTAATTCATTCCAGAGGTCCGTTCTTAACCTGAAACTGTTCTTAACCTGAGGTACCACTTTAGCTAATGGGGCCTCCCGCTGCTGTTGCGCCACCGCCTTGTGATTTCTGTTCTCATCCTGAAGCAAAATTCTTAACCCGAGGTATTATTTCTGGGTTAGTGGAGTCTGTAACCTGAAGCGTATGTAACCTGAAGCGTATGTAACCTGAAGCGTATGTAACCCGAGGTACCACTGTTCAATATACAAAGAACAGAAATAAAAAGTCAGTTATATAAAGTACATTTTAGGGTTTTGAATCAGTAGTCAAATGGTGGATCTTATTCTGCTCATCTTGATCTGCCAAGAGAAAGGACACGTTGGCAGTGGTTGGGTGACGCATAATGACAAGAAAAGAGGGGTGATAATCTCATTCCTCAAGTCTTTATAAAAAGTGAAAGCCAAGTGGCCATCTATGCCTCTTTGAGCTCTTTGGATGAAAGGTGGGATATAAATGTGTAAAGAGGATGGAGTAAATGGGGCAGCTGGCTTTTTGGATATCCCATGTTTTAGGCCTCTCCATGCCCATTTCTGTACCACGTAAAAGTTTTGAACAGGCAGGATGTTGCCGGTAGAGTAACATTAGCACATGCTTCTATACTCCTGCTGGGTTGGACTTGCTGTGTCACATCCACACCACAGATTTAAAACTATTTTAAAGCACATGACTTTTCTCCCCCAAATTCCTGAGAACTGTCATTTGTTAAGGGTGCCGGGAATTAAAGCTCTGTGGTGGGTAAACTACAGTTCCCATACAGTTAAATGTATGATGTGGTTTGCACCGAGTCCTCTTTGCTTATTTGGCTACACAGTGCCTCATTTACATCATATCATAAGCTTTTTACTACTTTAGTTATCTGTTACATTTATATCCTGCTTTTTCCAGAAGGAGCCTCTGAGCAGTGTTTTTAGCTTTAAGACAGTCACATGTAAGAACTGAGAGATAGTGCTTTCACAAAGCCACCTAAGTCAGTTTAACATCTACTGTCAATGTAACAATGATATACTTGCGTTAATTTAGGAAATACAAGAGGTTGCTGGGGAAGGGATCTGATCTATCTAGGAACATGTTGGGAAGCATTAAAATTTTAAATCGGAAAGTGCCACAGATCCAACAATGTTACTCACATGTGGGGAAAATCTGATGATGTAGCCCTTTTTGCTTCCAAACTGAATTAAGTATTTGAAATTTGGTTAGAGAATAAATCACTGAATAGTCCACTTTGAATATCTGGTACCGGAATTTGCTGTACAAAGGTTAAACCAGGTGTCCCATCTCAGACAAGGTCTCTGAGTTCAGGACAACAATTTTATCTCTATCTAGCAAAACACTGAATGTTTACTTCTTGCTTCATTGCTTAAAAGCAATCTCTTTTTTTATTCCAGTCAATTTCATATTCAGCTAGCAATGTATCTTATTAAATTGTTTCCTTTAATAATACTTAACTGACTATTCAATAAAATTACATCTCTTTCTATAACAGATAAGCAAATTTGATCCAGTCTACTATTGAGATGACTGCTCCTCACCAGAGGATTTTCTTTTGAAACATTTCTACAGTTTGGCACCAGGTGTAAACATTTTTCATAATTCTATAATGGAGTCCACTCTTTATTTCATCCTTTCAGTTTTATATCATTCCTTGGATCACGCTCATATATATAGTTATATAGATATAGATATATAGATATATAGATATAGATCCATGATGATCAGATCCAGTCAAGCAAGTAAATGCTGCTTCACAAATCTATTCAGATAAATAAGCTACTAAAGAATTAAGTAAATAAATAGTTAGGGAGGATAAAGCAGTTTGGGCTGTTGACATCGACTGGTTCTGTATTTTCACCTCCTTTGTAAGCTGGTATCCCTGAATTTAAACCAGGCATAGGCAAACTTGGCCCTCCAGATGTTTTGAGACTACAATTCCCATCATCCCTGACCACTGGTCCTGTTAGCTAGGGATCATGGGAGTTGTGGACCCAAAACATCTGGAGGGCCAAGTTTGCCTATGCCTGATTTAAACCCTATATCCTCATCCTGTGATGATTGGTTTTGCCGTCTCCTGCACTTCATGACTTAATTTCAGTTTTATGCCGAGGGTCTCTTAAGGATCATTACCTTCTGCCATTGTTGAAAGGGCTCATTTCATGTCCAACCACCAGGCCCCCTGGCAGCAGGACCCCCAACACTATCTCCTTGCTGCTCCTGCTCATCTTCTCCTCCAGCCATGATACCACAGCACTATACCTCTCCTCTCCTTTTTGCATGTGAGGGGGCTCCTTTTCATCTGTCTGTCCACCAATAACAGACCTCTATAAAGGAGAAGTACCGGAGAATATGAGAAGAGCTGGGATTTTGGTAATTTATCATGGGAAGGGTAAACGGAAAGATTTGTTGGGGTGGAGGCTTAGTGGTGGCCACAGCAGTTTCAGTCCTTTATCTTAAAACACAGTTGTGCTGGGATTTAGAGCTCCTCTTGGCAGCCACTGGCTGACAGCTACATTTTCCTCTTTCACGATGCCACATACATAGCTTTCCCCCCCCCAAAGCATTTTTGGAAGGGGGCAGGGCAGTCACCACAATTTTTTTGTGGTTGGTGCTATTTTCTCCCAAAACGCCTCCAATATTGCTACATCCAGGGCATTCATGGGAAAGAAAATGTCAGAAGCCAAACAGAGGATGGCAGCAGCAGAGCTTTATTATTATTATTATTATTATTATTATTATTATTATTGAAAAAGTGAAAGTGACAGAATGTGCATCTTTTTGCAATTGTTACCAAATGTGTGTGCCTGTACATACATACTTGCAAACCTGAATCTTCTTACACATGTGCTCATGGACCTGTTGTTATGGGGATCTTGACTAGGCTCAAGTGTACATCACAGAGCTTGTTGCAGTTGACCCAGTTGTTTTAAATTGCCCGTGTTGTCTTGCCTATTGGGGGGAATGAACAAGGACCAGAAAATTTACTGTGATTAAAACAATATTGGAACAACACCTAAGGCTGTCAGGTCTCAGTCCTTTCTATGAATGCCCCAGCTGTGTGATGTGGAACAGATAGCAATAAGCGAAAGGCGCTTCTCAGTGGTGGCCTCACACTTGCTTGGCTCCTGTATCAATGTCAGTTTAGCATCAGACAAGCACCTTTTTAATTTCCCCAAATTATGGAGTGATTCTAAAATTTGCTTTAACACAGTAGGTTTTACTGTTCTGCTCTCTCTCACATTAGTTTTGTCCTGCACACATCTTGCTTTTTAGGGATGCATTTTGATCACTTGTGTGTTTTTCTTTAATTTGTTGACTTAGATTGTTGCTGTAATTTTTGCTCTAGGGAACTTGTTCTTAGGAGGACATAAATGAATAAATAAATTTTGCAGTAAACTATAAGTGGCTGAAAGCAGGACATAAAACAAGGCGAGTAGTTTCAGTAGTTCAGTCCTAAAACCATTGGTTGCCAAACTATTGCAGGCATAGGCAAACTTGGCCCTCCAAATGTTTTGAGACTACAATTCCCATCATCCCTGACCACTGATCCTGTTAGCTAGGGATCATGGGGGTTGTAGTCCCAAAACATCTGGAGGGCCGAGTTTGCCTATGCCTGAGCTATTGACTGTCAATCTATTTACAAGGAGGAAAGCAAGGACTTATGTAGTCATTCTCATATGGCCCTGGACAATTCTCTGAACGGAGAGGTATAGAACGTGGAGCCCCCTAAGGGGCCTGTGGTTTTTTTAACTTTTAACTTATAAACACTCCAGAGTTAGGGATGAGTAGTGAAGTGGCCAGGTTTGCTCAGGGACATTAAAATACACAGATATTGTGAAGGGCTTGAAAAGGACCTCTTCAGATTCAGTTGAATGAGCAATCAAATGCCAAATTCAGTTGAAACATAAAGTGATGCATGTCATGGAAAAATAATCTGAATCACACATTTACAATCATGGGGTCTAAACTAGCTGTGACTGACCACAGGTGAAATATTGGGGTCATAGTGGGTAGCTTGCTGAAGATGTTGTCCCTGTGTGCAGCAGCTGTGAAAAAGACAATTTCCATGCTAGAAATCATTAGCAAAGGAGTTAAAAATAAAACTGCTGATATCATAATGTTGTTATGCAAATATACAATGCAGCCACATTTGGAATACTGTGTACAGTTTTGGTTGCCTCACCTCAAAAAAAGGTTATTGTAGAGTTGGAAAGGGTTCAGAAAAGGCAGCCAAAAGGATAAGGGGAAGGGGAAACTCCCCTAGGAGGAAAGGTTACAGCATTTGGGACTTTTTAGTTAGAGAAAAAGTGAAAGGAGACCTGACAGAAGTTCATAGCATAGAGGAAGTATATAAAACCTCTACCCCCCCCCATAACACTAGAATTCATGGACATTTAGTGAAGCTGAATGTGGAAATATTCAAGACAGACAAAAGGAAGCAATTCTTCATGCACCACATAGTTGAACTATGGAACTCACTGCCACAGGATGCACTGATGGCCACCAATTTAGATGGCGTTACAAAAGGATTAGAAAAATTCATGGAGGACAATGCTATCTATCTCTGTTATATATGATGGCTGTGCTCTGCCTTCACAATCACAGGCAGTTGCCAGACACTGCAGTGCTGTTGTGCCCAGGCCCTGCTTGTGGGTTTCCCACAGGCATCAGCTTGGCTACTGTCGGGACAGAATGTTGTTGGACTAGATGGACCACTGGCCTGATCCAGCAGGCTCTCCTCAAATTCTTAGAACAATTTAGCTTTGCTGAAACGTTTGTTACCATCTGAAATAAATTTGTGCATGCTGATGTTCCCTTAATATTATTGGCTGCTAATGTGTTAATATACAGGTGCCATAACGCGTTGGGTCTTTACTGCTGTAGTGAAAATGGATTTGACTACTTATCTGGCTGCAGTGCACCTACTGCTAAAGGAAGCTACGTCTGCTTATTCTTAGTGACATGTATGCAGGGCCAGGCAATTTAAAGAAAATAACCTCTTATTAGCCAAAGAGGAACTGTCTTCAAGCTACAATAAAGCTTTTTTCTTTTAAAAGCAAACCAATAGCAGTTTGTCTTTAAAAAGTGAGCTGTAACTCTAGGGTAATCACAGGTTTGAAAGCCAGAAGAAGAATGCAATTCATACAGAAATCTGAAAGGTAATTATATGGTTGTAGGCAATGGATGCATATAACAAACCAATTCCGCTTCACTAAGTCCTGGAGGAGGTCATTCTACTCCAACCAAAAAAAGAGAGTGGGTGGACCCAGAATGGCTTTTACTGCCCATTTCAGACATTCCCACAGAAACTTAACATGGCTGAGCATCTCTGTACACCACAAAGCCATTAAGTTGTTGTTGTTGTTTAGTCATTTAGTCGTGTCCGACTCTTCGTGACCCCATGGACCAGAGCACGCCAGGCACTTCTGTCTTCCACTGCCTCCCGCAGTTTGGTAAAACTCATGCTGGTAGCTTCGAGAACACTATCCAACCATCTCGTCCTCTGTCGTCCCTTTCTCCTTGTGCCCTCCATCTTTCCAAACATCAGGGTCTTTTCCAGGGAGTCTTCTCTTCTCATGAGGTGGCCAAAGTATTGGAGCCTCAGCTTCACGATCTGTCCTTCCAGTGAACACTCAGGGCTGATTTCCTTAAGAATGGATAGGTTTGATCTTCTTGCAGTTCATGGGACTCTCAAGAGTCTCTCTCAAGAGCCATTAAGTTAGAGAGTGGTTAAAATATTGGCCCCTTGCGGTATAGAGGAAGGCCATGAGGATGTGATATGGGGACCTAGTCCCACATCCCGATAGTCTGGTATACAAGAAGAGCGTGCTATTCTTACAGACCCCTAGCCAGGATCCAAAGCCCTAGTGTTAAGACACATCATCCCAGCCCCATGGCATCTGATGTGGAAAGGGTACATGGATACAGCAAAGATATCACACCTGGGAACAAGGGGGCGCATTAATCTAAATTTTCTAACTGCACGAACTCCCCATCAGATATCCCACACTGAAAAATTAAGCCAAATGAACCAAAGCATGCTTTGCTTCTTGCTTACGCCCAGTATAAGCAGCAGTTTCTCCATAAGAGTCAGTGGTTTTTTTTATCTACTTAACAGGAAAATCAATGTAAATCCCAAGTCAGTGACACTAACACTGGTACAACAGCCACTGGATCATCCTGAGAGTTCTCTGTCTATTCCTGTTGCCTCATCAAACTTGTGCTGGCACAGCTAGTACCTCTCAAACACTGGGCTTCTCCCTTTCTCACCAAGATTGCCTGTTCAGCACAACTCAGCTGGTGGCTTAAACTGATCCATTTATGGTGGAGAGAAGGTTTGGCATGATGCCACACAGCTTCATCATTATTCAGCTAGTATTCCAGAATAATATACTTGAAAAACCACATTTTCATCTACTGCAAAACAAAAACAAAAACAAAGTTTGTAAAAGATCTGGAATGGATCCTCAGCATCTTAATTTGTGTGATATGTGCACCATCCAAGTTTCTGAGTGGAAGGGTTGGAGGTTGGTGGGTGAGGTTTAGGAGAAGTCTCCTTTATGCCACTTCCCTCTGACTGCCCATGACAGCAATCATTAGCTGCAGACAAAATTTCATCGCAATAACCAGGTTTTCCATAGCTCAGGCAGACACGTAGTTCCTCTTCTAATTTCCTACACATCCACAACATCAAAATCTCAGAATATTAGGCTTTAAATAGAAGAAAAGCTGCAAAAGGGCTATCCCTGTGCACACGCTAATAACTCTGACAATTACCTGATGGAGGAGCACAAGTGTCTGTAAGGGGTGTGACTACAGCCACATAACTTTTCTTAATTTGGGCATAAACCATCATTAGTGTGGAAAGGAAATTGTACATCTGTGATGTTAAGTATCCTTAACAAACTAATGTTCCCAAGATTTGGGGGGGGGGGAACGCCTTGATTGTAGGGAAAATGTATGCTATGGGTGTGATCTATGATACTTAGCCAAGCAAGAGATATATTTTTTTATGCTGTACAAGAAATATGCTCCCAAAAGATGGTAATTTGCTCCAAGGCAGCAGTGGGAAACTGTGGCTTTGGCCTAATTTCATGCTGTTGGCAGAGTACCTGGAGGGAAAGAAGGGTGGAAGGAGATAAATGAAGAAGAGCCAAAACAGAGGGAACATAGGAGGGAGGAGATGGGAAGCCATCTGCAAGTCATCAGTTCAGACCTATGGCAAGAGTGATATGTCCCTCCCACAACAGAGAGGAAAGACAGACAGAACCAGAAAGAAAGGACCCAACATTTAGCTCGGACTCCACCTACCACAAGCTTTAGT